AAGAAACTTAGAGAGAAGCTAGAGAGAGATCCTTTCTTTCTTCTCCTTATTTCATTTTCTTCCTTACTTGAGTTCCTTTTGTACTCTTCTCCTCAGCTAAATTCGAGTGGGTTGAGGGCTAGAATCAGAGCTTGTGAAGGCGGAGGGTTTGAGTCGGTGTCGTACAGAGTTCTTTCTTTTCTCCTATTGCGAAATTGTCTCCAAAAGGTAAGGGAAGCATTGATTTCAAGTTTAAGGTGTATTGTGTGGCTGCGATGATTGGAATGAGTTGTTTATTTTCGTTGATTGATGTTGAGGATGAAGTTCAAAGGGGTTTTTCATGGGTTTTAAGGCTTTAAGGGGCTCATGGAGGTTTATGATTGATTGATGATTTATTTCAATTGCATGGTGTTTTTATGGTGAAATTGTGTTGAATATGTTGTATAGATGTTGTTTAAGATGTTGCATGTTGTGGAAACTTTATGATTTTCAGGTATTTTGCAAAATTGGGTTCTACAAAAGTGTAGAATCTAATGTCATGTCGGGCGCGCCTTCAAGACGTCAAGCATGGTTCCAAAAGAGAGCGCTTTGTCTTACTCACGCTAGGCATATGATTAGTGGCGTTAGACGTGAGGAGAGAGACTCGTCTCGGGTTGAAATCACACTAAGTGTGGATTGAATGATGCTAGGCGTGATATGTGAGGTGCTAGATTGTGTGGTGATGGGCATGAGTTAGGTAGAGAGCTTTCTACCTAATTAGGGTTGGGTGTGGATGTTGCCACACCAGGCATGGGAGAGTGAGACATTCTCTACCTCAATCACCTTGAGAGCGAATGATGTAACGTTAGGTGTGGGCAAGACAAGGAGTTCCCTACCTTACTGACATCGGGCTCCTAGCGCGAGATGTATATGATAAAAAACTGGTTGTTTAAGTGGTTTTACAAGTGTGGGCAAGACAAGGAGCTCCTTACCTTACTGACATCGAGCGCCTAGCAAATGGCGCCGAGCGCGAGATGTATATGATAAAAAAAACTGGTTGTTTAAGTGGTTTTATAGATGATGAATGATAATTAAGTTATGTAAGCAATGTTGTAAGATGATAGGTGTTGATATGTAATAAGTTGAGTGTATTGTGAAGCTATAAGATGTTTTCAGATTGCTTATGTTGTTGTTGCTTAAGACATAATGTTGTAAGACGTATGTTGTTATGTTATTTAAGTTGATATGTTGTAAAGTTGGGAGTTGAATTTTGCATGAGTTGTATATTGTTAAGCTGAAAACTCAAATGTTGAAAGATGAATAAGTTATTAAGTTGTTAAGCTATAGATATGTGGGCTACATGCATCTCTTAACTATGATACATAGAAATTAAAGGGGAGTTAAAGGTGTTTTCGAACTAAATATCCCATTGTGCATATATATGTTGCGATGCTCTGAGAACCCAGTTGAACCCTTCAACAAGTAATTTGGTCTCTGAATGGGTAAGTTGTTTTTCAGATGTCTCCCCTAGGTTTTATGTGGCATTTGTGTGTGGACAAAGTTGAGGCACATGTGTATAAAACGACCAATCGAGTAAAGTACCGAGTCAGGGCCATTAGTCTCTAAGCTAGTATCAAAGGGTTATGGTATTTAGAGGGTAATCGATGGACTAACACCATAGATGGCTTAGTGTTGTAGACTAATGTCGTGATAGGCTCATACCCAAATTGTTCTATCCTAACATAGTATCATACTTCTTTGTTTAAGTGGTGAAACCTGAGAAATCAATCTAGTTTATGTTAACAGTTATTTCTAGCCTTGTGCTAGCCATTATTTCTAGCCTCAATGTCAGCCGTTGTTTTTGGTATTATATCAGTTGTTATAATTCGGTAGGGATAAACCACTTAAACTGTTTAACCTAAAGATGTAGGAGATCTTGATAAGTGTCTAATTAGTTTGATTAAATATTCATTAGAGACACTTATCTAGCACATTTTGTGTACATATTGATATTATTTCGATCTATATATGCTTAGAATCAAAGAGGTACTTTTGATTAATGTTAGTACAAGGAATAGGAAGCCTTTGATCCAATTTGGTGCTTATTTTGTAGGGTTTGAAACCTGGAGAAGAATGGCTCAGCCATTCTAAAGCGCTCAACAGAATCAGGCCAGAGAGCTTCCCAAACTGAAGACGCTCAGTCACTCCCATCCGCTCAACGGATTTGATCCAGGAAAAAGGGGTGCTCACTGCCTCTAAAGCGCTCAGCGGATCTGAGGCGCTCAGCCCTTGAGGTTACTTCATGGTGAAGGATTCTTCAATCCGCTCAGCCACTCTAAGGCGCTGAGTGGATTCCTCTCTTTCCTGTTCACTCTGTTTTTAATTTTATCACATATAGAAGGGCACAGGAGAGAGAAAAGCCATCATGAAGCTGTACGAAGGAAGAGAACAGAGAGAGGAGAAAAACAGAGTACTCTGGAGCTTGTGGGAACATGAATCTTCAAAGGATCTTCTTCTTCTTCTACCTCTCAACTTGTAATTTGGTGATTTCTTGTAATATGGAGAGCTAATCTCTAGGGTTGGGATAGATGTAATCATCAAACTCCTATGTATTCCTCTTTGATTCATATATATATCATCCATTACTTTATGTCAGTGATTTTGTTCCTGTTCTTAATGCTTTGATAAACTGATCATTTATCTCTGATTTTGCGTTTAGAATTTGGTTGGAAAACGTTTTCTAAATCTAGACTTGGAACGAATCACCTATTAGTTTTGAGAGCCAGGGATGGTCTTGAAACTAGTAGTTGCAATAAGTTCTGATTCTTAATGCGAGATATTTAACTGAATAAAGTGAGGAATCATTCATTGAGTTAAATATCTTAGACGTTCTTAAGCCAATGGATTGGGTCTGAATAAATTCAGAAAACTCAATGATAATGAGTAATGAAATCTTTAGAAAGAATCAATAGGAGTGCATAGGAGGGAGATTGATGAAATCGAATCCCAACTGTTCCTTATATCTGTTTTCCTTCGAATCAAATTACTTTGCAGTTTCTTGAACTTGAAAAATCATCTATATCAAATTTGAATATGTGTAATTATTCCAGTTTCAAATTCATAATCATCAATTAGTATAATATAAATCTTAATTTATCTCACAAGTCCCTGAGATTCGACAACCTTTTATTCATACTACAGAGTCTTGGGTGCACTTGCCTATAAAAATACCAACAGATCTCCACAATTGATATGTGTCATGACGCATTAAATGATGAATATGCATGTATGTTGATATGATGAATATGTTTTGTGAACATAAGTTGTTATGATGAAGTTGTTCTATTGTAAGATGCAATGTTTTAATATGATGATGTTCTTGATAAGTTGTTATATTGAATTCTTTTTCACTAGCTTATCCTATGTTTTCTTTGTAGTTGAAAATGCAATGATCATACTTAATATGAGAACAAGATAGAATTAGTTAGGTGACGATACTGTGTTGATCGACATTAGATTTATTTTGCAATTGGTATTGTATTTTGTGCATATATATGGGATACCAGTTACTAGCTGTAATATAAACTTTAATTATGATGTATATTATTTAACCTTCCACTATACTATAGTCATTTAATAATAAATGTAGTGACCTATCACGTCCTTACACATTGTCTTAAATAACAAATAAAATGAAATGGAAGGGGACTTTTCTTTACTTGGTTTGTGTTCTTTAATTTTTTTTTTCGTTTATTTTAGTCTATAACATCGTGATTCCGAGTTTATTGTCGTTAACAAAGGTTAAAATATATACTTGATGATACCTAAATAAGAAATACTAAAATGAAAATATTCTAATATAAATGAGACTTATATTAAAATCTTTATAATTTTAGAAAGGGAAAAATAATAAAGTAAATAAGTTGAATGTCACATTAAGAAATTAAATCATTTTAATAAAAATGTAGACAAATAAAAAATAAAATAAAAATAATGTCTTATAATGACTAACGATTTAGTTGAATCTTATCATTATTAATTATTAATATAAAACCAACAAATAAATTTGTATATTTTGAGATATTTCAAAAGTTTAATTAATTCATAAAATTATTTTGAATTTAAATTTAAAATAATTATTTTATTAATTATTGATATTAAAATCTAATTAATATTAATTTTAATGAGATATAATAACTTAAATATTGTAGTTTTAATTGATTTTAATGATTAAACATTTTAAAATTAATCAATTTTAATTAGTGTGATTAATTATAGTTACAACAGTAAATTTTTTCCTTCTATAAATATTAAAATTTGGTAGAAATTAGATGTATTGATCATTGTTCTTCCTTTTGTGGTTAAAATTTTACTAATTCTGCATCCTTAGTTTAGTACTAATAAAAATTAATTCATGTTCTTAGCATCCATGAACAAAAATAAATAAACTTGCTAACTCAAAAGTATTTTTCATTTTTTTTCTAGTAACTTAGACTAGTAATTTTTTGTTAAAAAAAATCTCTCACTAATTCCAAATTCAAATAACGAAAAAAAAATATAAATTAAAAAAAAAATTGATCAGTGAAATTACTCGTTGTGAGCTTCAGAAGATCCTTTATAATGGACGTTAAACTGAGGAGTGAGGACCACTCAATGCCCCCCACATATTCTCTTTCTTACAACTCATGAACTCAAACTCGACCACATCATTTATCTCAAACCTACCTTAACTTTACCGGTTAAATAATTGCAACTGTCTAAAAAATGCCCTCAGCACATTAATTAAGACAATAATAATTTCACCAATACTCCTACTCCTACTACTTATAAATCTTTAATAATTATTTCTATGATATATTTATTGATCGATACCAACAAAATAAAACTGAAGTCGATTTCATTAAATATTATTTTTACGATTAAAAACAGAGTCGAGTAGTATCCATTTCCTATTCTGCGTAGCTGAAGTTAAAAAGAAAAGTTATCGATGTAACTACGTCAGTGGCCATAATAACAATAAGAAACAAAATTAATTTGGTTGTTTCCGTTGGTTGCAACAAAAAAGGCGAAACTCTCGTCGTTTCCCTGTTATCACTTTCCACAGATCTCTCTCTTACTCATTTTCCTTTCTTCCACTCAAACTCTTAAAACCATTCTTAAAAAACCCAACACAACACAACCTTAACTCCCACAAACCCACCCATCTTCCCAAATCTGCTTCAACTCCTTTCACACTAACCTGGGATCACATTATTACAACAAGAAACAAAAATGGGTCTCTGCAATTCAAAGCCTAGAGCAAATGCAGACCCCAATACCCACACCCACTTCACAGACACCAATGACAACGAACAAAACCCCACTCCCACCCCTAAAAAATCTCCTTTTTTTCCGTTCTACACTCCCAGCCCGGCCCCCCACTATTTCTCCGGCAAGTCTCCGGCGCCGACGACTCCCCGGCGCTTCTTCAAGCCGCCGTCGCCGGCGAAGCACATCCGGGCCGTGCTGGCCCGCCGCCACGGGTCCGTTAAGCCCAACGGAGCTACCATCCCGGAAGACGAGATGGTTGCTCTGGACAAGAACTTTGGATTCTCCAAACAGTTTGAGAACAAGTTTGAGGTTGGGGACGAGGTTGGACGGGGACACTTTGGTTACACTTGTGTTGCTAAGTTCCTTAAGGGCAATCTCAAAGGTCAACGTGTCGCTGTCAAGGTCATCCCCAAGGCCAAGGTTTCAGTCAACCCTTCTTCTCCATACATCATCACATAACCAATTTCTGTTTTTGACTTCAAAATTTAAATCTCTTTGTAATTTGCTTTTGGGCCTATGTTAACCCAAAAGGCTAGCTGGTAGAGTTTCAGGGTTGTCCTAGTTATGTGAGATCTCGAACAGTTTTAAAGTGAATGATAATGAGTTGGTTTTAATTGTGTTGTAGATGACCACTGCAATTGCTATTGAGGATGTGAGGAGGGAGGTGAAGATATTGAGGGCTTTGACCGGACATAAGAATCTGATTCAGTTCCACGATGCATATGAGGATAATGACAATGTCTATATAGTGATGGAGTAGGTTTGATTCATGTGCTATTTTTCATCTTTTGGTACCTTTCTCTTTGTGTAGTCAATGTTTTAATTTTTCTTGTTCTCTTGTGTCTCAGGTTGTGCGAAGGAGGGGAGCTTTTGGACAGAATATTGTCGAGGTATTTGTTTATTCAATGTTTATTCTTTTCGATTTGTGTTGTTTGGATGCTTATGGGGGGTGAGTGTAAATGATTGAAAGAGGAAATGTGTGATTGTTTGTGGCTGTTTCCTTTTGCAGAGGTGGGAAATACACGGAGGAAGATGCAAAAGCTGTGATGTTTCAGATACTGAATGTTGTTGCATTTTGCCATCTACAGGGTGTTGTGCATCGCGATCTTAAACCTGAGGTGAAGGGCATTTGCTTTTTATTTTTTTGTCTGCATCGTGAGATTGAGAACCACCCGGTCCTTGAAAAAGGTGGAAGTGGGTTGGTAGAGGATAACATAAGGACATATCATCGATCATCATCTATTAGGATGGTTTTTTATATCCATTTAATGAAATGGTTGTGGTTATGTTTGGTTTGGTTCATTGCCTGTCTTATCAGTCTTATCAAGTATGACTTCTAAGGATGGTTAATTTTTGGATCAGAATTTCTTATTCACATCAAAAGATGAGAACTCTGAGCTGAAGGCCATTGACTTTGGATTGTCGGATTTTGTGAAACCAGGTGTGTTTTGAGTACTTTTATACATGCTGCATGTTTTGAATCTTCTTGGGTTTGGCTTACAGTTTTGTGTTATGGTTTTCCATTGTGTTTTACAGATGAAAGGCTCAATGATATTGTTGGTAGTGCATACTATGTGGCTCCTGAAGTTCTGCATAGAGCTTACAGCACAGAGGCTGATGTGTGGAGTGTTGGTGTTATTGCATATATTTTACTATGTGGAAGCCGTCCATTTTGGGCAAGGACTGAATCAGGGATTTTTCGTGCCGTATTGAAAGCTGTTCCAAGTTTTGAGGAGCCTCCTTGGCCTTCTCTATCAGATGAGGCAAAGGATTTTGTTAAGAGACTTCTAAATAAAGATCCAAGGAAAAGAATGACTGCAGCACAGGCATTAGGTGAGTTTCTCATCAATCATTTTAGGGTGTTGTGTTTTCTTACATTCTATTCTGTTCCTTACAGGTGTATACTGCAGGTCATCCATGGATTAAAAATTATAAGGATGTAAAAGTACCCTTGGATATTCTAGTGTTCAAGCTCATGAAGGCATATATGCGCTCCTCCTCTCTACGAAAAGCAGCTTTAAGGGTATGCATATTTATTCAGAAATCTCTTTAAGAATCTTGATATTGAATGGGAAAGAGATTTTGGTAAACTATATAACCTTGGTATCTCCCCTTTTGATTTCTACTACTGGAACTGTGCTTTCAATTGGTTTTTTGCTCATAGCCTTATTAATAGGTGTACTAGTCATGCAAGAGTTTACATTACAGAATGTTGAAAATCAGGCTGAGTTGACTGTTGCACGAATAATCCGAGTAATAAAATGGTAGAATTTTGTTTAGCATTTTCAACTAGTTGGGCTCAAAAGTAGAACCAAAAAGTGACTTGAGCATTGTTTTTCAAGTCCTTTTTTTCCCTTAATTTTGTTTGTTACTATTCCCCATTCCTTTTGTTGATCACATTTCCTGTGAGTTTCCTAATAACTTACTAGTATAATATTTCATGGGCATTGGAACAGGCTCTGTCTAAGACATTAGGTATTGAAGAGCTGCAGTATTTGAAGGAGCAGTTTGCACTTTTAGAGCCAAACAAAACTAACACTATTAGCTTGGAAAATATAAAAGCGGTTGGTTTTTTTACAACTCTTTTTATACACTACATTAAGAGAATGATTTTTGAAATCTCATAATTTGAGCTGGCCAGGCCTTGATGAAGAATGCAACAGACGCTATGAAGGAATCACGCATTCCTGATTTTCTGGCATCAGTAAGTTCTTTGGTTTAACTTTGGAATGCCTCCATATATGATTCAAATGATATTTTAGGTTTGTTTGGATAACTTATTTGTAAGCATTTCTGGGAAAGAAAAATAGAAATAAAAAATTAAATAAACTTATTCATAAACTAAAACTAATTTATTCAAAAACTAGTTAGTAGAAGTTCTCTCATATTTGCTTTTTTAAAACTTATTTTTTAACTATACAAAAGTTAGATTTTGCTTAAGAGAAATTTATTTCTTTTTTTTTCTTCCTATTTTCTTTTCTTAGAAGTGTTTATGAAGAAGTTTATTTGAACAGACCCTTTATGCATTTATTGATTATTGATTTTGGTGGCAGCTTAATGCATTGCAATATAGAAGGATGGCTTTTGATGAGTTCTGTGCAGCTGCACTTAGTGTTCATCAACTTGAAGCACTTGACCGGTGGGAGCAACATGCACGCTGTGCTTATGAAATTTTTGAAAAGGATGGAAATAGGGCTATAGTCATTGAGGAACTAGCTTCGGTATGTTTAATTTAACAGTTTTTTTTATTGTTTTTGTTTTCATTTTATATTTTTTACTTATTCAGTATATAAACTTTTGAAAACAAGAAACATACCAGAAACTACAAAAAAGAACTGAGCATTTTCTGAAACCAATTGGCCCCTAGTTTAATCAGTTGATGCAAAATACATGTTAAGCTATGTTGGTTTTTGATCAGCAGTTGAATAATATTCTAGTTTGGGTTTGAATTTATGAAGAATCAATTTTTATATTTTGGAAAATACATTTAATTTCTCATGTGTGGTTTGAACTAAATAATAATCAGGAGCTTGGGCTTGGTCCATCTGTCCCTGTTCATGCTGTTCTACACGACTGGATTAGGCACACTGATGGAAAGTTGAGCTTCCTTGGTTTTGTTAAATTATTGCATGGTCCTTCTCGAAGTCTTGCGAAACCTCACTAGGAATTTGGAAGGTCCAAGCATTTGCTCAATTATACTTATGATAATCTGGCCAATAAAGTGCTGGACCAAACAGTCCCTTATCATGAAGGGATCTTTGTCACTGTCGGATTATACTCAACATAAATCACCCCTTTTATACTTGGAGCAGGAGGAGTCAAATAGGCATATTCATATTTTCCACTGTAAAGCTGTAGTGTGTTTAAGTTGCAGGTCATAATATTTTTGTGATTGTTGTTAGATGCTGACTCTTAATATTCTAACATGTTCTGGGATTCTTGTCCAAATGCAAACTCAAATTCATTGCATTGCTTTTGTTCTGAGTTGAATGAAACAAGTTTTTAGAACTCTAGCTTTCTCATCATGCTAACTACGTTGGTAGGATCTGATATTGTGTAGCCACAAAACCTCCTTTGATTGCTACAAAATCTACTGTGCATTGTATACTATAGTTATTGATTACAAATAACAGGGGTCTTATAAATGCATGGAAAAAAGGATCTGTGAATGATATATACACCAAGCCTTCCCACTTAGCTTCGCATGAGAAGGGTCTCTGGTCAAACTTTGGGTATGTGTGGAAAAACAATTTCGGGCTTAATTATCCTATTTTGGTATTTATAGTCATGTGAAGGTTACATTTTGTTCTTTATAATTAAAAATATTTTATTTTAGGTATTTATTTATAGTATTTATAGTTGTATAAATTTTATCTTTTATTATAGAAAGAGACGACAAAAAAGGGGGAAAAAATGTATGAAAACTAAAATTAAACGTTTTTAATTATAAAAACTAAAAAATAAAATTTATAAAATTATTTTTTTAAAAATCATAATTAAACCATTTTTTCACTTCTATGAGAAAAAATAGAGAAAAAGGTAAAATTAGCTTTTTCTCAAACTAAAATTGTCTTAATGCTCTAGTTAATTTTTAAAAAATGTTTCATATTAGTTTTTCCAAAACTATTTTTCTAAACTTATCTTAACATAACAATAAATTATTAAAATTGACATAATAATAAAAAATAATATAATATACAGAGTCTTATAGTCCAACATTAATATTGTCATTATAATTTTGATGATTAAAAAAAAAATCCGAACATGACAATCGATGGGTCATGGGTTAGTTTAGTTAGTGGTTATTTAATAAGTAGACATCAAACTAAAGTAAATAATTAATTTAATAATGTTAAATTTCAATAACAATGCAAAAAAAAAAAAATTGTCCATCAAATAAACTTTAGACAAGTAGATGTCCACCCTTTCTAGATTTCTTCCAACTCTTCATTGGTGAATGGAGTTAAAATTTTGAATACCTACAATTTTAAAATAGAGATAAGTTAACTTTTAGTTGATGGTTAAACAATAAAAGAAGTCAATTAAAGTAGGATAATTGATTTAGGATCCATTTGAACAACCAATTTATTTAAGTTCTTATTTAGTAAACTCTTATGTAATAAGAACTTATGTTATAAGTGCTTAAAATTCAATAAATTGTTATATTTGAATATACATATTAATAATTACTTATACAATTTGAAGTGTTTGAATATATCCATATTTAAGGACTTATAAGATGTTATCTCATTTTAAAAATTAAAAAATTATGAATTAAATTTTTTTAAAAAAAAATTATTAGTCATAATTTACCTAATTTTAGTTTATAAAAAACTTTAATAATAAAATATGAGAAATAAATTATACAATAAAATCATGATAAAAATTAAGAATCACAAATTCTAAAAATTATAAATCAATTTTACATATTAAATCATGATTAAAAATAATTATTGTATAAATATCAACAACAAAATTATTTTAGATGTGCTATTTTGAAAGGAAAAAAAAGTTATGAGTTTTTTTTATAATAGAAAAATATAAATATTAGGGAAGAGATAGAAAAAAAATGTTGGCCAAAAAGTGATAAATAAATAAATAAAGAGGAACAAAAACTTAAAAAAAAAAATATAGACCAATAACTGAACCTATACCATAAGTATCTATTCGACCCCAAACCGATTTTGACGTCTACAAGTATTTGACATATCAGATACATTTCTTTATAATCAAACTTAATAAAAAGTAATATTTGACTGTTACATAACAATAAAAGATATTAAATACATTTAAATATTTTATCTATCGACAATAATATTTTCTAACCTATTGCATTTCACCTTCCTGTTCACTCTTGAGAGTACATATACACATCATCAAACACTTACTAATTTAAGCATTGAAGTTTCTTTTCCTTATACAACCACTGATCAAAAATCAAAGACCAAAACGGAAAAGTTTGAAAAGTGAACGATTACTTTTTCCGGCAATTACAAGACAATAATCAACATGTGAATTCTTTTAGTACAAGAGAGGTGGTGAATTCACATCTAACATGTGATATCGAAGGACATTATAATAATTAGGTACAACTTCCAAATGAGGAATTTGATTGTACAAAAATATACAGGGTCACTAGTGACCATGCTCCATTAATTTCTTCAAGAAATAATTAAAAAGCATGCAGGAAGGATGTACGGTCTATATATAATATTATAATATTATCTACCTCTCACTGAAGATTCAGAATCCAAGCATTAGTTTCGTTTTTATTTTTTTTTTCATTTCTAGAACAGTGGCAAACCCTATGCTCTTTACTTCATGTGGCACTATTTGAGTAAGACTTACGTGTGAGTGATTATAAACTATGGTATTGACTATCGAGTTCAATTGGAATGATAAAGAAAAAAATAATTAAACATGAAATATTTGGGTGCAGCTTTAGAAACATGGGTGGGCTTGTATTGGAGATTAGCTGGTTCCCATTTGACGAGAATGTTAAATATCTTCCTCTTGTTCTGTTCTGCACTACGATCGATTATTGAAAATGGTCCCCAATGCATTATTTTAGTTTCTCTTTTATTCTCTGTTCGAGACCTATAAAACTTTCTTGCTTGCTTTGAGGATTTAGGTTCAATTTTTATTGTAACCATATTTGTAATCTTTCTTATCTAAAAAAAGAAGAATATATTTAAATAATGAAACCCTTAACTTAATGTTTATTTTAAAAATAAAATTATTACCATTCCGAATAAAATTTCTGCGAGGATGTAAATCATGATGGAAGAACAAAATGCACAGGATGTCTGCGCGTGTAACATTTGTTTTGCGGTACTGTATCATAAAAGGGCATTAAAATTATCAACTCATTTTCAGCCTTTTTTTTTTTACCTTTGTTTTAAAAAGATACATAATAACTAGACACGAGATAATTACGAATTTACGAGAAGAGAATTGAAGGAAATATATATATATATATA